ACGGGTTAGCCGTTAGCTCTCCGGCTGCAGAGGTTCAGGCTATTGATTGGTTATTGATTGGTGTTAATAAAGCCGAAGCAGAAGCAATGGTCAGTTTGAACATCAGCTGTTTCCCAGCAGGAACCTTGTCACTGGTGTGAAGTTTTTCCCTGCAGCCACATGGAGTCACTTCCTGTCTGTTCGCGCGTCAAACACACCGCTAATGAAACGCTGCGCCGTGATTGGACGATGCTTTCAGGGTCAGGGTGTAATCATTAGCTCATTAATAAAGAGCTATTCAATTATTATTAAGTATATTGAGTATTAATAACATGTATGAATGTATGTGAAGGATGTTACCTGTGCAGCTGAGGGGACGATGAGTCCAGGTCCAGACACCTTGGAGTCCAGGTCCAGACACATGTAGAGACCAGGTCCAGACATATGTTACGACCCAGCTAGGAATGGGGAAGCAACATAAAACAAGGTGTCGGGCGGACAGGTACGGCTCAAATCAATAACATATATCAATCCAATCGATCCGATCCACAGTAAAAGTACTAATATTTAAATAAAGTGCTAATACTTAGATAATAAAGTAGTAATAATAAAGTAGTGGTAATGAAATAAAGTAAAAGTACTCTGTTACAAGTGAAATGCTACAGAAATAGACATATTAGCACTTTTAATAACATTTGACTTTTATTTGACCTGATGGATTCAGAACAAACTATGCAAAAAGTCATGAATTTTATTTCTAATCTGAACAAAATTATAAATGCAACACTTTTGTTTTTGCCCCCATTCATCATGAGCTGAACTCAAAGATCTAAGACTTTCTCTATGTACACAAAAGGCCCAGTATTGTTCACAAATTGTTTTCAAAAATCTGTGTTAGTGAGCAATCTTCTCCTTGCTGAGATATTCATCCACCTCACAAGTGTTGGCATATCATGATGCTGATCAGACAGCATGGAGTATTGCACAGGTGTGCCCTTAGGCTTGGCCACAATAAAAGGCCACTCGAAAATGTGCAGTTTCACTGTATTGGGGGGTTGGGGGGTCCGGAAACAGTCAGTATTCTGGGTGTGACCACCATTTTGCTCACGCAGTGCAACACATCCTCTCGCATTAGAGTTGATCAGGTTGTTGATTGTGGCCTGGTGGAATGTTGGTCCACTCCTCTTCTAATGGCTGTGTGAAGTTGCTGGATATTGGCAGGACCTGGAACACGCTGTCGTTATACGCCGATCCAGAGCCATCCCAAACATGCTCAATGGGTGACATGTCTGCGGTGAGTGATGCTGGCCATGCAAGAAACTGGGATGTTTCAGCTTCCAGGAATTGTGTATCAGATCCTTGCAACATGGGGCGTGCATGTTCATATGCTGCCAACATGAGGTGATGGTCTGTGGATGAATGGACAACAATGGGCCTCAGGATCTTGTCAGGTATCTCTGTGCATTCAAAATGCCATCAATAAAATGCACCTGTGTTCGTTGTCCATAACACACGCCTGCCCATACCATAACCCACCGCCACCATGGCCACTCGATCCACAACGTTGAATCAGCAAACCGCTCACCCACACGACGCCCATACCGCTGTCTGCATCTGCTGTACAGTGAAAACCGGGATTCATCCGTGAACAGAACACCTCTCCAAAGTGCAGACGCCATCGAATGTGAGCATTTGCCCACTCAAGTCGGTTACGACGACGAACTGCAGTCAGGTCGAGACCCCGATGAGGACGACGAGCATGCAGATGAGCTTCCCTGTCCAAAGTGCCAGACGCCATCGAATGTGCAGAAATTCTTTGGTTATGCAAACCGATTGTTGCAGCAGCTGTCCGGGTGGCTGGTCTCAGACGATCTTGGAGGTGAAGATGCTGGATGTGGAGGTCCTGGGCTGGTGTGGTTACACGTGGTCTGCGGTTGTGAGGCCGGTTGGATGTACTGCCAAATTCTCTGAAACGCCTTTGGAGACGGCTTATGGTAGAGAAATGAACATTCAATTCACATGAGCTGAACTCAAAGATCTAAGACTTTCTCTATGTACACAAAAGGCCTATTTCTCTCAAATATTGTTCACAAATTTTCAAAATCTGTGTTAGTGAGCACTTCTTCTTTGCTGGAGATAATCCATCCACCTCACAGGTGTGGCAATCAAGATGCTGATCAGACAGCATGGGTATTGCACAGGTGTGCCTTAGGCTGGCCACAATAAAAGGCCACTCGAAAATGTGCAGTTTCACTGTATTGGGGGTTGGGGGGGGTCCGGAAACCAGTCAGTATTCTGGTGTGACCACCATTTGCTCACGCAGTGCAACACATCTCCTTCGCATAGAGTTGATCAGGTTGTTGATTGTGGCCTTGTGGAATGTTGGTTCCACTCCTCTTATAATGGCTGTGTGAAGTTGCTGGATATTGGCAGGACCTGGAACACGCTGTCGTATAACCTGATCCAGAGCCATCCCAAACATGCTTAAATGGGTGACATGTCCGCGGTGAGTATGCTGGCCATGCAAGAATGTGGGATGTTTCAGCTTCCAGGAATTGTGTACAGATCCTTGCAACATGGGCCATGCATTATCATGCTGCAACATGAGGTGATGGTCGTGAATGAATGGCACAACAATGGGCCTCAGGATCTGTCACGGTATCTCTGTGCATTCAAAATGCCATCAATAAAATGCACCTGTGTTCGTTGTCCATAACACACGCCTGCCCATACCATAACCCCACCGCAACATGGGCCACTCGATCCACAACGTTGAGCAAAAACCGCTCCCACACAACACGCCATACACGCTGTCTGCCATCTCCCTGTACAGTGAAAACCGGGATTCATTCGTGAAAGCAAAGTGCCAGACGCCATCGAATGTGAGCATTTGCCCACTCAAGTTGGGTTACGACAGACGAACTGCAGTCAGGTCGAGACCCCTGATGAGGACGAAGAGCATGCAAAAGAGCTTCCCTGAGACGGTTCCTGAAGTTTGTGCATGATGAATGGGGGCAAAAACAAAAGTGTTGCGTTTATAATTTTGTTCAGTGTATATATGAGCAATCCAGCCATGCAGAATTATAATTTGTGTTTTATGGAATTAACAGTGTAAACTAAACCCTGAAATTCTGCTAGCTCTCTCCCTCCCAGCAAATTATAAAAATGCATCAGTAGCTAAGAATCATATAGTGGCTAAGGAGTGTGTGATGCAGGAGGTAACACCGTCCAGTGACAGACTGACAAACTAGTAGAAAGTAGTTGCTTCGCATATTTATAACAAAATATGTAGAATCTGGAATCAGAACTCTACAGATAGATCATTTCCCGCTATGTGATTGTGAGTCGGTCCATGGCTCCAACGACTCACTTAGCAGAGCATGCCGTTCAAATATATATTTTATTAGATACAGGCATGTTATTGTTTGGATACTGCAGGGATTTCAGCCTCAGAAGGTGACAGGAGGGAGGAGGATAGATTAAATGAGGGAAGAGATGGAAGAAGCAGCCAAGAGATGGGAGGTTCTGACCTGATGGTGACGTTGGCACACTGAGCAAGTCTGCGTCCTGCACTCTTCAGTCCAGTGTAGATCTGTCCCATCTCTATTGCCCCTTCCAGGCCAACCACCTCCAACAGCTGGTCACTGAAGTCTGGATGGAGAGGGTTACAGAGAGAGACAGAAACAGAAAGACATGTTATGAGTTCATTTGCAGGCACTTTGCCTGACCAAACTCAAAAATAGAGGTACAAGAGAAGGTACATTTTTTTACTGAAAAGTAACACTGACACACTGAAAAACGTCTGACAGTTTATGATACATATTTGTACCAATTATTCCTGTAAATTACTAAAATGAGTTAAGGTGGTTGCTTGAGTCACGTATAATTGACCTAGATATGCTAAGTGCTGGGCTCATGTATGTTGAAAAGACAAAAGCAACATCCATATAGTCACATTTTAAGTTAGCTAACCAATGATTGATGTGTATTAGCTAGCTTGTTAGTGTGTTGCTAGCTTTCAGATATAACTAGTTAGCTAGTTAACGATTTATGTACATTATCTAGCTAGTGTGCTAGTGTTTAGCTAACATTAGCTAGCTAACTTAAGATGTGAATACATAGGCCTATATGTTACCTTTATCTTTTAACATCTTCAAAATGTGGTCTTTTCAACATACAGTAGACGAGCGTGGCACATAGCATATCTAACTATCCAGCCATCAAAACATGTATGTTACGTTAATTCTCCAGTCAGTGCCCATGACCAGATCTGGAGTTTATCCCTGGGCTCAGCTTAGTTTAAACCTTACTTAACTTTACTTTAAACATAACTGAACAAATGATAATTAGCAAATATGGAAAAGCTAAAGCTCATTGTCATAGTCAGTAATATGGGGTATAAACACATTCTTGCTGACCAGAGGAGGAGAATTTTGGACTATGACCTTCTTTGGCGTGTGTTCAACTTTTGAACTGCTGGCAGAGGGTGAAGCTGACAGACTGAGGCATAAAAATACTCTCTGAGGTCTGCTTGCACTTTTGGCCGGTAGTGTCCTGTGAATGTCTTGTGTGTGTGTGTGTGTATATGTACTGAATTTGAGTTTGTACTTTTTAAGGTATGCGTCAAACAAAGCATCTGCTGTTTAAGCTTACCCCTAATTAAGATTTATTTAAAAAGACAACTAATGAATGTGTTCTTGTTGTGGTTGGTTAGATTGCCCCTACATAGGATGAAGGTGGGATTAAGCAGCATCAAAGAAAGAGGTAGCACTCCAAATGTATCATTATTCCCTAATGATTTGAAGATATATTAATCATATTGGCCATTTGGGGGATTTAATTGTACTTTTTAAAGGTACTTAAAAAGCCTCTTTTGCTGCTCAATGCTCTTCTATGTTCACCAGGTAGTCTCTAATCGTGTCTATCTGCTGTTTGTTACTGAGCAGGTAGTGCACAGTGAGTTTTTGGAGCCAAAAAGAAGCAGTAAGAGCAGTGAGAGTGAACCAAAACAGTAAAGTTGCAGCCGGGCAGCTAAACAATGAGCTGAAATTCACAATCAAGCTCCATAAAGTCGGGGGGGGGGGCTGCAGCTTTAGCTGACGATTCCCTGTAGGTTCATCAACGTGAGTCACCCTTTTTGTCACACTGTTTCCACATTGTCATATGATATGAACATTGTTGCAAGACTGGAGAGGTAGACTGTGACATGCACACACACACGACAATGTTTGTGGGACTTTCAGCTGCTTAAATAAAGGAATGCACATATGAGAAGAGTTGCTCACTGTAGTTCTCAGTGTCAAACATTTTAACAGATCATACCTCCTCTTTATCTTCTATTACTAATTTCCCTTTGTGTTCTCTCTCTGTTTGAAAAGTGTGACGCCTAATAGTCAATATTTACAGACATGATCTGAAAGGTCACTGATGATGTCATTTGACATTTTACTTTCAATACACTTTATCTCACACACAACTTAATATGATTGAGAAATGATGTCCTTGTATGGCCCCTGCAACTTCACAGGTTTTTACAGAATGCTTTGTGAAATGAATTATTACAGAGAAATCTGACAAATGTTCCGTCTTCACAGCAGGCGTGATAATTTGTGAGGTGCGACAGCAGAATCCAATCTCATACCCGCTCATACGAATGTGTTGGCGGCAGTTCGTCTACGCTAATTAACTGTGGTTGTGCGCAGATCCCATCTTTTCCCAACATGGTGCCAGGATCCGAGCTGCACGAGCTGACCAGGCCGACAAAGACTACTACGAGACAACCACTAGATCTTCCCGTTATTCTTACTCTGTTTATTCTGAACATTTTACAATGTGGTCTGGTGCTTCACACAAAAATAGACCCTGAATTGAGTCAAAATCTCTGCCTTTGTAACCTATTCTCCATGGCTAATCATGCAGGTTAGTGTAGTACTCTGGGAGTTGATTAACTTTACTCAGACAGGCTGCTGAATACCTAAACAGTCCTTTCTCATGCATGCAAAAAGCACTGGGTTTCCCCTTATTGCTTTTCTGACATCTTAAAATGTCAAAAAAATCATCTTACAAGGAAGAGAGAATGACCACTCTGAACGTACCCATCCATTTCATTCTGCGATTATTCTTATGATTACATGTTCCAAATGTTAACAGCAGAAAAGGCACAAAGACTAGAAAAGACAGAGGATCTAGATAAATATAAAGGCAGAGTTGACTTGATTTAATGTCTCTAGCAGAGGTTGCTTCAGTGCAGCAGAAAAGAAAGAGAGCCTGTAAGAGGCGCCCAGGGAACCAGTCAAACCATTCCCCGAGGGTGTCGATCCTCCATCCCGCCCAGACAAGCTCCAACTGGCAGTGCTGCCTGTTGTGACTGGAGCCACAGGCTGTTTCAGTGTAAACAACTATAATAATTTCCCAATGTCGTCAGACCTCGCTAACCTTGCTGGCTTTGTTTTCAAACTGCAAACAGGAAACTGTTGTGTGTTTTCGGTTTGCTCTGGAGAGGAAATGTGCTCTGCAAGAGCCTGATGCAACACAGGGCCCAGGAAAAGCCTAGGTTGTGACTTTTCACTTTTGATGTAAAATGTAAATGTAAAAAAAAATGTACATATGCAGTGTTCTGCTAGTTACTATTACTTTACTTATTACTGCCTGCCAACAGTAATTAGTTACACTAGTAGTTAAATAACTTTTCTGCTACTTCCCAAAAAAGTAATTGTAATATTATTACTGAAATCTATTAGTATTTAGTTACACTACTAGTTACTGGGGAAAGTGATATTATTACCAGTAATAACTGCCCAACACTGTACAAACAATGTGTCATAATTACAAAGACCATCTACATCTGTTTTTCTTATCCTATGCTTATTCCTTTAAAGTACCAGTGTGTAGGATTACGTGGCATCAAGTTCCAACTAACTCTGGACTGACTGCTCGCGTCTATATTTGAGAATGGCCTGTGAAGTGTGTAGGAGAAACTATGGTGGCCACGAAAGGAGAGCCAGTGTTTAGTTTGTCCTTTCTGGGCTACTGTAGAAACATGGCAGTTAAAGATGGTGGACTTCATAGAAGAGGACCCGCTGTCTGTAGATATAAACAGCTCATTTTAAGGTGACAAAAACACAATGATTCCTATATTCAGGTGATTATACACTAATGAATGTGAATTTTAAACACTGGACCTTTAACAAACCCATATGAACTGTAATAATGGACTTTTAAAAAACAAATAATCTCTTGATTAGTTTAGAAAATTGACCATTGCTTTCCCTTCATCAATTATTCTCACTGTGGTCAAAATCAAACTGTGTCAAGCAGCTGGTAAACATATGTTATAACATAATGGTGAATATATTAGTTATAGTTTGTTTTTGTTTACATGTATAAAAACATGATGTGTGACATTTGGAAAGTGCTGCCATTTCGTGCCTGACTTCAGGGATGATCAAGGTTTACATGGGAATAAGTGTGCTGTTGCTGAGTCACTGGCATTTTAATATTTCAGATGACAATTTGAAAGAAAATGTCATTGCAGAGTGAAGAACAAAAGGCTGTACTTCACTTTGGTCGGTCCTCCTAAGAATTACATGCTCAGGGCACATGCATTAGTAGAGAAGCGCACGTGAAGAAGAGAAATAAAATGCATCCACTTATGCTTCATTACATGATCATCTTCAGTAATTGTGCATGAATGTAACAATTATTTTCCAGTTGCTATAGAATTGGTATAGCACTATTACAATGCAACAAGGCTCAACTGCACCATCAGCCCGGCAGGATGTGGCCAGCAGTAGCCAGTGACACTGACAGCGACTGCACTGAAAGTGACATCATTGTCAACCCTTGGCTGTGAACTTATTGCTGTTGATGCGGTCAATGACTTTCTCAAATCCGTAACGCTGTGCTAGCGTAGCTAATGCAAACTAGCCTACACTCAATGACTAACTTTTAATCTTGAAACTTGTATTTTGTTGATCACTTAAGGGAACCAGAAACAAGCTGTGAACACAATATTGACTTTTTATTACCATTTAAAGGATAGGAGGATCTATTGCAGAAATAGAATATAATATTCATAGGTATGTTTTCATTGTTTGTATATCCAACCTGAATATAAGGAATCGTTGTGTTTTTTTACCTTAGAATGAGCTGTTTTTATCTACAGACGCTATGGGTTGCCTTCTGTGGGATCCACCATGTTGAACCATCATGTCTCTGATCATGTCTCTGGTTTGTCCCTTCTCCCCAGAAGGGACAAACCAAACCCTTTTGTGCTTTTCGCGACTACCGTAGTTTCTCCTACACTTCACAGCCCGTTCTTATTCCCTGGTCATCAAATACAGATAATTTAAAACGTCATGGCTAGATGCCACTAAATCACTGGACCTTTAAGTTGTTATGGTAAACTATTGGTCTTTAACTCCTGATCTGGATCTTAAGCTACTAAATGGTCCACTTTCTTCACAAGCTGCTCTCTAACTGTGTCTGTCTGCCATTTGGTGCTGGGGACGTGATGTACAGTGGATTTATCAGAGCTGAGTTGGACTGTAAACCTGGCTGATGAGAGCTGGTGAGGTTGAAGCAAAACAATAAAGCTCTGGGCATTAAAAATAAAAGTATGAGATTAAATTCTCTATAGAGCTGAGGGGTAA